GTGTGTGTGTGTGTGTGTGTGTGTGTGTGTGTGTGTGTGTGTGTGTGTGTGTGTGTGTGTGTGTGTGTGTGTGTGTGTGTGTGTGTGTGTGTGTTAGCAGTGAGCAGATTTTAAGTAAAAGTAGCAAAAATAAGTATAAGTAGTACAAATACTTATAATGTGTTTGCTCTCCTTTAGGGAACATCAAGCAGTGGATCTCCAACATACATATCCAGACTGGAGGTGAGACACATCAGTTTGTAACACTTGTGCTCCTATTGGCTAGCGCTCCAACACATTGTACGTGATAGGCTAAGGGGCGGGAAATCTCTAAGCGGTTGACCAATCACAACAGAGCCGGCCATCCAACCAATCAGAGCAGACTGGGCTCTGGTTTCAGACAGAGGGTGAAAAGAGATGCTGCAGCAAGAGACACTACATACTGATATACACCTGAACATCAGCAGGAGAGGACTCTTTAAAGTAGAGACACTACATACTGATATACACCTGAACATCAGCAGGAGAGGACTCTTTAAAGTAGAGACACTACATACTGATATACACCTGAACATCAGCAGGAGAGGACTCTTTAAAGTAGAGACACTACATACTGATATACACCTGAACATCAGCAGGAGAGGACTCTTTAAAGCAGAGACACTACATACTGATATACACCTGAACATCAGCAGGAGAGGACTCTTTAAAGTAGATACACTATATACTGATATACACCTGAACATCAGCAGGAGAGGACTCTTTAAAGTAGAGACACTACATACTGATATACACCTGAACATCAGCAGGAGAGGACTCTTTAAAGTAGAGACACTACATACTGATATACACCTGAACATCAGCAGGAGAGGACTCTTTAAAGTAGAGACACTACATACTGATATACACCTGAACATCAGCAGGAGAGGACTCTTTAAAGTAGAGACACTACATACTGATATACACCTGAACATCAGCAGGAGAGGACTCTTTAAAGTAGAGACACTACACACTGATATACACCTGAACATCAGCAGGAGAGGACTCTTTAAAGTAGATGCACTACATACTGATATACACCTGAACATCAGCAGGAGAGGACTCTTTAAAGTAGAGACACTACATAATGATATACACCTGAACATCAGCAGGAGAGGACTCTTTAAGTAGAGACACCACATACTGATATACACCTGAACATCAGCAGGAGAGGACTCTTTAAAGTAGAGACACTAGATACTGATATACACCTAAACATCAGCAGGAGAGGACTCTTTAAAGTAGAGACTACATACTGATATACACCTGAACATCAGCAGGAGAGGACTCTTTAAAGTAGAGACACTACATACTGATAAACACCTAAACATCAGCAGGAGAGGACTCTTTAAAGTAGAGACACTACATACTGATAAACACCTGAACATCAGCAGGAGAGGACTCTTTAAAGTAGAGACACTACATACTGATATACACCTGAACATCAGCAGGAGAGGACTCTTTAAAGTAGAGACACTATATACTGATATACACCTGAACATCAGCAGGAGAGGACTCTTTAAAGTAGAGACACTACATACTGATTTACACCTGAACATCAGCAGGAGAGGACTCTTTAAAGTAGAGACACTACATACTGATATACACCTGAACATCAGCAGGAGAGGACTCTTTAAAGTAGAGACACTACATACTGATATACAACTGAGCATCAGCAGGAGAGGACTCTTTAAAGTAGAGACTCTACATACTGATATACACCTGAACATCAGCAGGAGAGGACTCTTTAAAGTAGAGACACTACATACTGATATACACCTGAACATCAGCAGGAGAGGACTCTTTAAAGTAGAGACACTACATACTGATATACACCTGAACATTATCAGGAGAGGACTCTTTAAAGTAGAGACTACATACTGATATACACCTGAACATCAGCAGGAGAGGACTCTTTAAAATAGAGACACTACATACTGATATACACCTAAACATCAGCAGGAGAGGACTCTTTAAAGTAGAGACACTATATACTGATATACACCTGAACATCAGCAGGAGAGGACTCTTTAAAGTAGAGACACTACATACTGATATACACCTGAACATCAGCAGGAGAGGACTCTTTAAAGTAGAGACACTACATACTGATATACACCTGAACATCAGCAGGAGAGGACTCTTTAAAGTAGAGACACTACATACTGATATACACCTTAACATCTGCAGGAGAGAACTCTTTAAAGTAGAGACACTACATACTGATATACAACTGAGCATCAGCAGGAGAGGACTCTTTAAAGTAGAGACTCTACATACTGATATACACCTGAACATCAGCAGGAGAGGACTCTTTAAAGTAGAGACACTACATACTGATATACACCTGAACATCAGCAGGAGAGGACTCTTTAAAGTAGAGACACTACATACTGATATACACCTGAACATCAGCAGGAGAGGACTCTTTAAAGTAGAGACACTACATACTGATATACACCTGAACATCAGCAGGAGAGGACTCTTTAAAGTAGAGACACTACATACTGATATACACCTGAACATCAGCAGGAGAGGATTCTTTTAAAGTAGAGACACTACATACTGATATACACCTGAACATCAGCAGGAGAGGACTCTTTAAAGTAGAGACACTACATACTGATATACACCTGAACATCAGCAGGAGAGGACTCTTTAAAGTAGAGACACTACATACTGATATACACCTGAACATCAGCAGGAGAGGACTCTTTAAAGTAGAGGACACTACATACTGATATACACCTGAACATCAGCAGGAGAGGACTCTTTAAAGTAGAGACACTACATACTGATATACACCTGAACATCAGCAGGAGAGGACTCTTTAAAGTAGAGACACTACATACTGATATACACCTGAACATCAGCAGGAGAGGACTCTTTAAAGTAGAGACACTACATACTGATATTCACCTGAACATCAGCAGGAGAGGACTCTTTCAAGTAGAGACACTACTACTGATAACACCTGAACATCAGCAGGAGAGCACTCTTTAAAGTAGAGACACTACATACTGATATACACCTGAACATCAGCAGGAGAGGACTCTTTAAAGTAGAGACACTACATACTGATATACACCTGAACATCAGCAGGAGAGGACTCTTTAAAGTAGAGACACTACATACTGATATACACCTGAACATCAGCAGGAGAGGACTCTTTAAAGTAGAGACACTACATACTGATATACACCTGAACATCAGCAGGAGAGGACTCTTTAAAGTAGAGACACTACATACTGATATACACCTGAACATCAGCAGGAGAGGACTCTTTAAAGTAGAGACACTACATACTGATATACACCTGAACATCAGCAGGAGAGGACTCTTTAAAGTAGAGACACTACATACTGATATTCACCTGAACATCAGCAGGAGAGGACTCTTTCAAGTAGAGACACTACATACTGATATACACCTGAACATCAGCAGGAGAGCACTCTTTAAAGTAGAGACACTACATACTGATATACACCTGAACATCAGCAGGAGAGGACTCTTTAAAGTAGAGACACTACATACTGATATACACCTGAACATCAGCAGGAGAGGACTCTTTAAAGTAGAGACACTACATACTGATATACACCTGAACATCAGCAGGAGAGGACTCTTTAAAGTAGAGACACTACATACTGATATACACCTGAACATCAGCAGGAGAGGACTCTTTAAAGTAGAGACACTACATACTAATATGAACCCGAAATATGATAATAATATGTCTAAAGAAACATTGCTATTGGTTATGTTCCCACAGGGTATGCAGGATGCCCTACAGGGGGCGCTGTCCTCCCTCCTGCAGGAGTCTCCCCGCAGGAGAGTGGCTCTGGTCACATTCAACGATGAGGTAGGAGAATAATGTGAGGTTTCACTCAAATGAAACACTTCATGCCATAACAAGAGCAATGGACGACTGTTGCCCTTTCTGGAATACCGTGGTTGTTGTTTTGTTGTAGCTTTTGAAGATCAACTATAAATACTTCCATTCAAAAACACCTTCTCCTCACAGGTGGTGATATATGGAGATGGCACCAGCACTCCTCTGACTCTCAGGGACTGGGCGCTGGTGGACTACGACCATATTTGGAAACAGGGCGTGGCTTACAGCATCCCGCACTGTATCGCTGAGACGTACCAGCAGCTGATGCAGAGGGTCAAAGAGTAAGTGAACAAGACGTTCAATTATCTTCATACTTTAAAAATACCTTCACGTTTATTAATATCTCTGTTTCCAGCCTCAGGGAACATGGAGCTACGAGTCTCGGTCCTGCAGCGTTAGCCTCGGTTGCCATGGCATCAAGATATCCAGGGTCAAAGGTGAGGAATAAACCATCATTTTGACGGTCAAAGTTTTAATATAGGAGCTTAAATGAAAAGGAGGTGGGACCATAATGACGAGCAATCAATTACCAACATTTTACTTTTAGTTGATTTAACTTCTTGCAGAAAAATACTGACAAACACTGTAAAATATTATTTAAGGAACATTGACAAATAAGTGCCTTTCCTATTAACATGGGGAAAACATGCATTCAATTAGAATAGGTTTGTTTTATTTAGCATATCATTAATGTCATTCTTATCATTTAAAAAAACAATCCTCTCACTTTTATTATTCGTAATGGTTTCTGTTTTTTTCACTTTTAATTATATATTTGATTATCTGCTGTCATTTTATTGTCCTTCTGCCTTTTGTATAATGTCTTGTCTTTGTTTTAAAGCACCACATCTGTTGTATGAAATGTGCTCTATAAATAAATGGTGTTATACTCAAGAGACTAAAACACCTTCATGTTATTGCTGCTGGTAAAATGTGGTATTTATAACAGGTGGAAAGTGAGAAATGTAAATATGTGCTATACTAACCGTCTGTGTCACTATCAGTAACTGAGACAGCAATGACTTGTGGGTAATGTAGTTCCTTATCTGTGCAGGTGGTTCTGTGTACTGACGGCAGAGCCAACATTGGGCTGGGAGAGATGGAGAAAGCTCCCTCTCTCTCCTCTCTCTCCCCCTCCTCCCTCACCCCTTATTTCTACAAACAGCTGGCTCAGCAGGCGGTGGAGAGCGGGTGAGGAAAGCTTGTTTTGCACCTGCATGCCATATATTAAAACATTACATTCTAATAAATCAAAGCTTCTTTCTTGTCTTCCTGCAGAGTCATAATATCCGTGATGACGTTTGAAGGGACTGATTGTCGTTTGGCAGACGTTGGGAGGTTTGCAGACACAACTGGAGGAAGGGTGAGACACGTGCAGACACTGAGGGACATTTTGAATAGCGGAGAGATGATGAGATAATGCTGAAGTAGACATACAAGTTTACTTTAAATGAGGTTGTCTACAAGATTGCTAATCAATCACAGCGATCAATGTTTGACATGTATTCATTTTCAATGTCACATTCCCATTATTCTATGATTTATTCGACATTCTTACATTTTTTAAAGTATGTTATTATATTTTTTTAATCTTTTTATTGCACATCCCTATTCTTTTTTATTTTATTTACGTTTTGTGTTTTATCTTCTGTTATATTTCCTTCTCATATTATGTTTTGATATAAACACAAAGAATGGAAGTTACACCGTAAAAATAGGCAATCAAGATAAAATAAAATAGAACAAATATTCATATGAAAACACGAGTAAAAATAAGCAATAAAATATATAATAAAATAAAATAATATGATATAATGTAAACTTAACATGCAGTGGTTTATTAACTTATAAACACCTGCTCTGCTGCACAGGTGAACATCGTGAGCATCGGCACCGTGGCAACAGAGATACAGTCGGCTTCCGTGGACAACATCCTAGCAACGGGAGTCACGGCAACCCTTATTGCTCCTGATGGAGTGTGAGTGACACCAAGAAATATATTGACAGGAAGTTAGTTAGTTTCAACAAATGATGAGCACAGAAACGCCAAAATAAACTGTTTTTTAATCCATATTATATTAACTCTATTGATCTCAAATTGGGATTCCACACATTCATTTCTTTCCTACTCATTTGTATGTTTACCCTGGAAATGAAGTATGTTTTGGTGATTTTTAATAATACTCTATTTCTTGCTCTGCAGGTATTTTCCCTTTGAGGACGAACAGAATCACACACTGGTGAGAGAGATTGGAAACGTGACCAAAGGGCTGGAGGTCACCTTCCAGTTCGCTGTGAAACCAGAGTTCATGGAAGGTAAGACACACAATCAGTATTAACATCCACTATCTTATGGTATACATGCTTTAATGTGTGTGTGTGTGTGTGTGTGTGTGTGTGTGTGTGTGTGTGTGTGTGTGTGTGTGTGTGTGTGTGTGTGTATGTGTGTGTGTGTGTGTGTGTGTGTGGTCTAGCATTACTATACTTGTGGGGACCTAAATCTGTTTACATAGTCACGTGTGGGGACTCGCCTCCCTTATGGGGACAAATTGGAGGTCCCCATAAGGGGAATCATTAATTTTAGGGTGAAGACTTGGTTATGGTTAAGGTTAGGATAAGTCTCCAGGAAATGCATGTAAGTCAATGTAATGTCCCCTGAAGTGATGTATACATGGTATGTGTGTGTGTGTGTGTGTGTGTGTGTGTGTGTGTGACAGTTTTCCTTCAGAAGGACACACTTCCTTTCCAACTCCAGCTGAGTTTTAAGACCAGAGACCAGGAGAAAGTGACTCGTGTGATCACTGAACAGAGACCTGTTGCTTCCTCCAGGTAAACACTGAAGGTGGAAATCAATATTCATTTAACACAAAAAGTGAGGAAATGTGTGCTTATTTATTTAATGTAACAATGCTTCTTGGCAATACATCTTATACCGTGTGATTTTGTCACATTTTTCATACTCAGCTCAGATGTATTGCCAAAAAGCATTGATACAACAAAGAAATACTCTGCCAAACACTCATGTCCTTCTCCTGAAGTGGGATTTGGGCCGGGAGTCTCAACATGGCGGTACTCGGCGTTCACTCCGCTCAGCTCTGCGCCAGATTAACCATGGAGGGACGCGTCCAGGAAGCTCAGAGACAACTGAAGGATCAGCAGCACCTGCTCAGCCTCATCAGGTACGACTGAACACACCTGAGTTGAAGGGCGGATTAAAATATGGGGAGGATTTTCAAGTTGTGTGTGTGTGTGTGTGTGTGTGTGTGTGTGTGTGTGTGTGTGTGTGTGTGTGTGTGTGTGTGTGTGTGTGTGTGTGTGTGTGTGTGTGTGTGTGTGTGTGTGTGTGTGTGTGTGTGTGTGTGTATAAAAAGGTATGGATGGTGAATGGGTATCATGGATTCTTTGATTTGCAGGAAAACAAATATGCTTGAAATCACGGTATGTGAACAAAAATTGTGTCCCCGCAACAATTTAAAAGTTAATATTCCTTTACTGTTTTATCATTCCTGAACAAATCTGCAATATTTTACTGTTTTTACCCGGTGTGTTGCAGACAGTTTGATATTTTGTAAGTTTTCTTAACCTTTCGCCTCAGTGACACACTCTGAATACACACACACTCCGACACACCTTAAAAACTTGTTTATAGAGCTGTCTGCAATGTGTGTGTGTGTGTGTGTGTGTGTGTGTGTGTGTGTGTGTGTGTGTGTGTGTGTGTGTGTGTGTGTGTGTGTGTGTGTGTGTGTGTGTGTGTGTGTGTGTGTGTGTGTGTGTGTGTGTGTGTGTGTGTGTGTGTGTGTGTGTGTTAGTAAGCAGAGGCCTATCAAAAAAGAAGAGAGTATCTATGGCAACTGGATGGACACCATGACAACAATCTGTGATGACATCACCCCTGGATCACAGGTAATCATACACCTGAATTATGAAACCAGTTTATAAATGTATTATTCATTTACACTTCAGTATTTTATTTCATCCTGTTCGTCTGTTAACGAGCACAATGTCTACAATTGTCAATTAAATATAGGAAGTATTTTTTGCATTGGGTCATGGTAAAAATATGTGTGTGTGCTCCAGCTCTGAATACAATATTACCTCGCTTTAGAGAGGTACAAAGGTGTTGTATAAATAGCCAGATTGAGACATTTTCTTCTGGTAATAACACATAATGTCATCTTTACCAACTGGGGCACACCATTTATGTGTATCACCACCAAAAAGTGATTAAAGGGATGGTTCAGAGCACTGGGTTAGCATAGCTTAGCATAAAGACTGGTAACAGGTGGAAACACTTAGCCTGGCTCCGTCTAAAAGTGACAAAATCTGCCTCGTCTCCTTTTAAAGATCATGAGATTAACATGTCACATTTTGTTTCATTCAAAAGTTTAAAAAAAGACAGGAACCGGGATCTTTTACTCACTGATTTCTCATCTCATTCCCCTCCAGACTCTCTCTGATGAAGCAGCGAAGGTAATGTACCAGATGAAGAGAGCCAGCAGCGTCAGCAACAACAACAGCAACAACAGCAACACTATGCAGGGGAAGGAAAAGGCCCTAATGGAAGGAATGTAAAGACATTTGGCCTCCATATATATGAAGATTTCATTTCATTTTTAGCCATATTGGCTTCATAGACTGTTTATAACAAGTGGATGCAGCCACCATGATATTAGTACCATTTTGAAGCCTCAATTATTGTCATTTGGTCGTTGCGACCTTGATGTTTTGGACCAGAAGTGACTCAGTACAGTAGAACCGAACGCTGAACAAGACTCATACGGATACCAACATTTTCTATTAACTTTCATGAATTGAAAACACGAAAAACACCCAACTGGACGACATAGTAGCTTGCTGTCAATCAATAAGTCAATTAATCGTTAGACTTAAAGCTAAAGATTAACACCATAAACTCACAATAAAAATGTTCGAAGAGGTAATAAATCAAGAAAGAAGCAGGGTCATTTTCTCATAGACTTCAATGGAGTCGAGCCCCCTGCTGGCCATTTGAAATAATGCAGGTTTAATGTTTTTCCGCATTGGCTTCGCTTTTAAGACATGGATGTTTTAAAACTAGATTTGCTCACAACTGAAGGAAAATGATTTTCAGTGACTTTTATTTATTCATAAAATGTGTAGGCCTATGCATATTCGATAGAGTAAAAACATGTGTTTACCTTAATAACCCTTCTGTTTATTTGCTAGTTAGCTAGTTATTGTACCTTTGAATGCATTCTCACATTTCAACGTTAGATGTTGACATGTTTAAGGATTTGATTTATGTGTCGCTGTGTGAGTTGACTTCCAGACGCTTGCAAAGGATGATTAATTGCATGTGAGTATTTACAATCATAGGTGTTATGCTAGGAGTCTGGCCTGGCACAGTGACCTAGTAACATTTCTTAGTGTGTTTCTGGTACTACAGTCTGTCGCTGAAGGCTGTTTCAGTAGTTTATAGCCTTCAAATATCTCTTGTGATTAACTCTGTCTACCTTTTGAAGGAGCTGTAGATACTAATGGTGCATTCAGGCGGCCCTAGTAAACTCAGAAAGTTGCACATTTTGTTCGGCACTACAGAGTTTCAGAAGCACTGAAAATGGCTATGAAGCGGTACATATAAGCAGTACATTTTGGTTAGTGATGGACACCAAAACAGAGCTTAAAGAGCGTGAAAATTGGACTCTAAATATGTCAATTCAATACTGGGAATATCAAGGCAATAGATCATCACGTTTCTCCAGCTTGAATACAATATCACCACCTACTCCTGGATTTCCATAAAACACTTTTTCTTGCCACATAACCCCATATTTAACTATTTTTATCCAAAAACTATCTTTTTCTGGTTATAAAAAGTCATCTTATCTTCACCAACTTTCTGATTCCCCACCAAAAAGTATTAAAAGAAACGTTCAAGATACTGTGTCAGCAGTTGGTTAGCATAGCTTAGCATGACGACTGGAAACGGATGAAAACAAGTAGTCTGAAGGTCAGACAATTAGACTACTTGATGGAAACAAGACTCAAACTAACCAGTGATGTGGCTCCTTAACTGCTGGATGTATAAATAAAGAAATAAAGAAAACACTTGCTCAATATATTCCCTATCAACTTTGTAGTGAAGTCAAGCCATAACAGGCTATAAAACAACATGTATTGCAGCAGATAAAACCATACAGCTGCCATTTACTATATCACAGAACTTCAAGTACCTTCCCTTGTGTTATTCAGGTACCTATAATAATAATATGGTATCATGATGCCATTACAGAGATTAAGGGGTTAAGTTCTGGTGGTGTTTCTTCAGTGTCTGAATGCTAGTAAAGATATCACTCGTCAGCTGTGGTGAGAAACAACATCGTGAGGAATGTAGGCCTACAAGAAGAAAAGCACTGATTGTACTTTTCCTCTTGTTATCAGGAGATAAGGAGAAAGGAAAAGTACCTGAAGCTACGTTTTCTAATTATCAGGCACTTATCTTCTATTAATGCTAGTACTCCAATTACAGAGGGAATGATTGCAGGTTTATCTCACATGGATTTAATTTGCAGATTAAGATTTTTAATAAACAAAAACAAACAAATGACTTAATTGATCAATAAAAACCTGTGAATAAAGTTGTTTATACACAACTGTATACTTTGTAATGACCCTACAGTTGTCAGAACTATCATGATTACACGTTGATGACACATCCGTAAATCAATCAAGGAAGACAGCTAGTTTCTTTTTAGATTTTTTGACATGTAATTTGTATAATTAAGAGAAGATTATGCCTTGTTGCAGTGTCATTGTGTCACCTGAAAAGCTCATGAGACTGAGTGAGATGTTTTTGTCACAAAGCCCAGCATCCTGTTTGGGTACACGCGGTCTGAGAATTGGCTTATCTCGAACTGAAGGTCGAGCATCAGTTGCTGTGAGGAATGTGAGATGTCTGACTGGTTAAAAGACACGCACACATGTAGAAAAGTCCCAGATCATTTAGATGCCATAACTAAGTCTTGTAATCATTATGAAGATTGAAATTAATCGCAGGGTTGAGTAGAGAGAAGACATTGTTCCTTTCTGTTATGTTAAAAAGACATATGTAACTTGATTTGTATTAAAAGGAACTGATTGAGGACAATAGGTTGGTTCGTCAAGGAGGTTATTAGCCTAGCAACAAAACAAATAATAGTAGAATAGGAGAAATCTGTTTTACATATGCTAAAAACTGTCTAAGAGCCACCTGGATTTAAAATGATCACTGATTAGAGTTGTGAAAGTGAACCAAAACAAAGCTTAAAATAAAAGATAGCTCAAAGTAGCTGCAGGGTTAGGTGATATTTCTCGTATACACTGTTAATATAAAATAGTGATTAGACAGTGTTTTGTGATTAAAAACACGAAATAAATATATTATTTATTCATAAAATCAACTCATTAAGCAATTATTTTGATGTTAACAATCTCAAAGTTCCCCGTAGGATTACATTTTTCTTGATGCTAAAGAAAAATTGTTTTTACACTTTAAAACATGTAAGAGCCACCTGGATTTAAAAGACAATGAAAAGAGTGGTAACAGTAAACCAAAACGAAGAGCTTAAACACACTAAAAACCTCTGTAGTGCTAAAAGGAACTGCACAATTAAACGATAAGTCTCCTATTCATTATTAATGAAAAATATTGAATTGAAAAGCTTTATTTCTGTGTTTTGTGATTTTAAAACAAGGTGAAATTAAGACCATTTTCTTCATCATATGAAGCCTTTAAGCTATCACTTTGACAGTCTGTGATTCTCCCATACATTGTTTGTAAAGTATTGATTAGGAGAGCTTTAGGCCACACAGAGACGATATCAGTTGAATCCGCTAACGTTCTCTATCGTATAGACGGTTCGTCCACACGAGGCCGAAGCGGTTTCGGTAGGTCTGAGGACGAAATGCTTGCAGCCCCGTGTCTACGCCCTATCCGAACATTTCCTGAAATCGATGACGCCAGCCTCACCACCTCTGCTGCTCACCGCCGCGCCACCCACGTCATTGCTGATGCGTTTCGCCAACAACAACAACAATGGCAGATCACAGGGTTGCTTTCGTGCTCCAGACGCTACTGGCAACTGGCTATAGAGTTTAGTGCAAAATCTACAGCTCCTCTACCACAACCACCAGCAACAATAATAATATAATAATATAATAATAGTCATCGGTCTTATTCGCTGCTTTTGGTGTATTTTGTGGCGGAAGTACAGCGCCACTTACAGGCCCGGCATATGTACTACAGCGTCTCCAGCGTTTTCGTCTCCGTGTGGACGGGGCCTTAATACAGTGTTTTGTGCTCCAAGAACCACCTGGATTTAAAACGACACTGATATGAGCGTCAAAAACAAACCAAAACAAAGAGCTGAAAGGCACTAAAAGCCTCTGTAGTGCTTAAAGGAACTCTCCTGTACACATTTCAATGTAAGAAAAGCTTTATTTCAGTGTTTTGTCATTAAAAAATGTGCGATATAGTAAGAAAAAGTATTTATATCAAGCTTTTAAGCAATTTTGTTGACAGTTTCGCAGTGTTAATCGGATGTTAACTGTATTAGAAAAATCTCACATTTCCCCCAAGGTGTAATTCAATTAGATGCTAAAGAAAGTTGATTATTTCTACACTTCAAAAGAGCCACCTGGATTTAAGAAAGACACAGATAAGAGCGGTATTAAACCAAAAGAAAGTGCTGAAAGACGCTAAAGGAAGAAATTGCAATAAAGTACATTTTATACATCACAAAAAATACAAGTAACGTAAATATTCATTGGAAAAGCTTTCATTCAGTGTTTTGGGGTTAACAAAATAAGAAAGAAATGGCAAAATACCACATTTATGTCAACTTATCAACCAATTTACCTATGTTCTATCTCACAGTTCCCCTCAGGTGTAATTCTTCTCATTTCTGAAGAGAGTTGATTGTTTTTTCTCAAGAAACTCTATTTGACACGGCCTGAAGCAAGGACACATAACTTCCTCGCAGCCCATTTGCGAGTGGTTTTGGATAAAAGTGTTAGATAAATGAAATGTTGTGAAATGCAATTCATCATTCTGCTACCTTACAACCAGTCTTGCCACTTGTACCTGCCAACAGGCACACAGGTAAGAGGGCGGGACTGAGAGGAAAACACACACACACAAACACCTTTTTATGTCGTAGCATGAGAAAGCAAACACATTTCACAAGTCCGTGTGACGGTGATCAAGAAACAAGAACAACATACGGGAGGAAAATAATAATAAGAACAATTTCTACCTCTGGAGCTTTCTGGATCTTTTCTACCCGGCAACAGGCAAGGTTTACACTTTCCCTCTCTTATTTAATGTTCATAATCATCGAGAACAAGTTACTTATACGCTGCACTTAGAGATAAGTGCAGAAACCAGTCTGATCTCTTCTGCCGCGAATCAGTTATTGTCTCTTAAATGTCAAACGTCGTGAAATCGTGTTGTTAATTGACTCCCTTTGTAATGTCTTGTTTATCATACCAACAGTCCATATCCATTCACACTCATATTAATTATCTCAGTATTGACTGATTGATTATTTGACGTTGTTAAAGCTATGACCGGAAGTTCCTCACTCTCCCACCACTGGAACAAATGCTGCTCCAAAAACAAGTTAAACACGAATGAAAGGTGTTTTCACTTGAAATAAGAACAACAATCTGCCAATAGAACAAGTGAAAATGTGCATGTTAGTTGGTGATTTTCCAAAATGAGATAGGCCTACGACTCAAAATGAGATTTGTTGACTTAACAAGAGAAAATTAGTGTCAACAAGTGTCTCACTGCATTGTTTCTCCTGAAGTTATTATACTATAGCAGGTGTAAAGACATATTCTGACTAGATACTAACTAGACACACATACTTGGCAAGATGTTGGGGTTTTGTAGTGACAGCATCATTGAAAGTAATAGTAACTTGATTAGTGTAAATGTTTCTCTGGCTGCCCACAGGATGTCTTTATGTGGACGTTTTCTCTCCGATGAGCAGTTTCTGTGCTCGATCTGCCTCGATGTTTTCAACAATCCTTCGTCCACGCCGTGCGGACACAGCTTCTGTCTGGCCTGCATCAACAGATACTGGGACGGGGCGATGGTAGGGGAGTTTTTTTATTGTAAAGAAGGTGTGCTGGGTGTGACGGTGCTTTTTTAAAATCAAGATTGTAAGAGTAGTTGTGGAGGAATCTTGAAATACCTTCATATCAATCCCTATACGTTTGAAAAAAAACGTATTTTATAAAACAGTCATTTTCTCTTGTAATTATTAGATTTTTTCTGTAGGTCCCTTTATTATCTTCCTGCCTTGCTTTTCTTAAAGTAATCATCAAATACAGTCTTTTTTATATGTAATAGTAAAAATAGTTAAAGAGGATCCTTGAAATACCTTCAGAACAACCCTATAAGTTTGAAAAATACTATTTATGACTAATATTTCATGTATTTCTTTGTCTTTATTAGATTCGTTGTCTCTGTTAAGGTCCAATTGTCATCTTCCTGTCTTGTTTTTCTTAAAATAATAATCAAATACGGTATTTTTTATCTGTAATAGTAAGAATAGTTGGAGAGGCTCCTTGAAATACCTTCAGAAGAATCATATAAGTTTGAAAATAAACCTTGTTATTATTTTATAAAACAGTTATTTTTTCATATTGTAACGATCACAAAGGGAGTCGGAAACAGGCTTCAAGTTATTAGGCTTTAATAACTCTTCTTATTCACCGATGATCACAGGTTCAGGAACAGCTTGTGGGTTCAACCTCACACTCACTAACTCCCACACATACCCATATATATATATATATATATATATCAGTATCTACATCACAACTTCCCACCCTCCCCCGTCTGCTCCCCCAACCACAGGCCCGCACCTCAACCAGCATCACTGTGCAGAGAGACGGGGGATGCCTGAGTGACACGCTCAGGCATCCTATACAGGGTCGCTACAATATATTTATTAGATTTTTTCTGTATGAAGGTCCCTTTATTAGATCTTCCTGACTTATTTTTCTTAAAGTAATCATCAAATACAGTCTTTTCTTATCCGTATAGTAGGAATAGTCTT